AAACGAGTGATGCAGAGAGAAGGATGAGGAGGGAGAAAATGACACAGAGCCAGGCAGGCAGAATGGAAAAGGGATAGGAATAAGAAAATGACACATGAAGACCAAAAATAGCACATGAAAGAAACTGTGATGTAAGGACACACAGGACACAGACAGAGGGAATAAAGAGAAATCCAGAACAGAGAAAAGCAAGGTGTCCTGTGATGTCCCTGCCTGAGAATAGCTGCTGTTAGCATGCAGAGTCACACACAGACCCATCTATAGCATCACTCTAGTGCGACACACACACACACACACACACACACCTCTTAACTGTTCACCTCAAGGAGTGTTCCTTCCACTCGGCACTGCTGCCAGCCTTCCCTCAGGGCTCCCCCAGGGATGAAGGAGCCTACTCACTTAAAAGGGTCATGAAGACGACTATTTTAAGTTGTGCGTGTGTGTGCGTGTGTCGCAGGGGATGGAAACAGGTAGGAATGGGTTTTCCTGTTTATTTCAGGGAAAATGATGCGAGCATCAAAGCGTGTTGTTTACAGGCTGTTGGGGGAATCGTAGCGCTTTTAATTGGTGTAAACGATCAGAGGAAGGTATCCTAACAGCTTTGACATTATAACAAAGCCCTCAATACATTACCTTAAAAAGATAGCGGCGCTCCCAGCAGAGCCACGTGCAGATTTCAATTTTAAACAAGTGACATGTTTAACTGTGAGCTCGTAAACAGCAAAGCACACTGACAGTCACTGATTCTCAGCCTGCCAGCAGAGGGAACGCAGGGCATTAAACGACCTTTCCATACTGTTTTGGATAAGGAGCCATCACATGGTCGGCAGTTACACAACCGAGCCCCTCCAGAGACAGAGTGCACTACACTAAAGAACTGCTGCACCACAGGTGGAGCACTGGGAGGACCGACTTGCTGTGCAATCAAGCTCTCTCTTCAGGTTGTGGTTGTCAGCTGAATTTATTTTTACACTGGCCTTTACACAGTGCTGCTGTGCTAAAGATATAAATTCAGCGCAGTGTGTCAAGGATGAGACAGCTAACTTTCCTACTGCAGCTCATCTGAACTTCACCACAGTGGTGAGACGATTTAAAGTGTCTGTTCAGCCCAAATTACACACAGAATATTTTCTCTTATGATAATTTCTTTTACGATCATTATCTTCATGTTTGCAGGTGGTCAGTGAAAAACACACTGGCCTGGACTGGGATGGAGATCTGTCCAGTAGCTCCGCTCTTATTTCAATACTGTTTGATAATATGCTACTACACTGTACATTAACCTTTATTATTAAGTATTTTTGATTTTGAGTTGGCTTTGGACTCTCTGCTTGTTCTTTCACATTTAGGAAATATTTGAGTTCTGTATTCTCAGCTGGCCTCTCCCTTAGAGATAGGGTGAGGAGTTCAGCC